GGAGATTAGAGAGAGAGCTTTTTAATAATGTGATTCTACCCCCCCCCCCCAAAGACAAATATTTGGACTTACAAGAAGTAAGATTCCTATCCACTCTCTCTACCATCGGATCTCACACAACTGTAGAGATACATTTAGCTCCAAGAGGAAGGCCAAGATTGGAAGTAGGCAAATATCTAATCTGACCAGGTAAGACTTCCGTGAGCTCTTCAAGATTCACTGCTTTTCCCACAGGAATTAGTCTGCTCCTAGTCCAATTGACTCTCAACCCTGAGACTACTTTAAACCAACTGAGCACCCCTAAGAGAATCTCTAGTTGATCAACCTCCACATCAATAAAGTAAAGAGCATCATCAGCAAACTAAAGAAGCTGAACTTTTTCCCCACTTGGAGAAACCTCAAAGCACTTCCATAGACCCTCATCCCCCACTTTCTGCACAAATAGAGTTAGAATCTCCATTACACAAATAAACAGAAGTGGGGAGAGAGGATCCCCTTGTCTCAAACCTCTAGAACTTTTGAAGAAACCCGTAGATTGGCCATTAAGCAAAACTGAGAACTTTGGAGAGGAAATACATACATTAATCCAATTCTTCAATTTCTGCCCAAAGTCCAAACACTTATAGTTTACATGATGATACGCCTTTTCCAAATCCAACTTACATAGCAACCCTGATTTACCTTCTCTAATTCTTGAGTCAATCAGCTCATTTGCCACCAACACACTATCCAACATTTGTCTACCTGGCACAAATGCAATCTGTTTCTTCTCAATTATCACATTGAGGAGCTTCTTCGTTCTTTCTACTAGAACTCTGGATTTTTGTAGAAACTGTTCAACAAGCTAATTGGTTTGAAATCTTTGATGTTGGTTGCACCTTCCACCTTAGGTATAAGGGATATGAAGGTGTTGTTCAAACTTCTAACCAAGGAGCCATTTTGGTGAAAGTCATGGAACACCTTCAACAAGTCCCTTTTCACCCCCTCCCAGCACCATTTATAAAATATGTTAGTTAATCCATATGGCCTTGGAGACTTCTTAGTTCCCAAGTTTTTAATTACATGCCATATTTCATCTTCTGTGAAGGGAGCTTCCAACTCCCTTTGCTGATCCATAGAAAGACTTTTGAAAGTAAGGGCTTCTGGAAAAGGCCTCCTTACCTAGTTTTCTTTGAACAACTCCAAGAAAAAATTAGTGGCAATGTGTTTCATTTCTTGGTTACTGCAATGGGTTTAGTAGTTGTTGTCTTGCCTTTGGCGATAACTATTGCATGCAATGGTGCTCCTCTCTTCAAGCAACGATGCTTTATATGTGTTAAATGGAAGGTTAAAAATGTAATTTTAAATCAAAGGGTATTTTGGTATAATTTAAAATTAAATCTAGCACATGAAGTGACATATGAACGGCCTGTGACGGAAACTTAATGGGAAGGGAGTTGTGTGACAATTGTCAGAAACAATATGGGTACTTTAAGACAATACTGGAACAATAGGGGTATAGTTAGTCAATTTCCTAAACCTTAGGGGTAGTTTAAGAAATTCTCCCTTACTTTAATCTGCTTCATGTCTTAATTTACTTTATTTGTACTACAATAAAACAAAATAAGCTAAAATTTAAAACAGAGGTAGGTCAGAATTTACATTCAAATCATTTCACTACCATGGTTTTGCATCGGTACAAATTTATTTGCATTACAACCAAACATGATAGGCTTAGCTTAGAAGGAGTACAAGTACAAATATGTAGGCTTTACACTCTGCATATTTGTATTTGTACTCCTTCCAAAATGAGCCCCATAGAACGACACTCCTCGCAACATGTTGCAGCCATGCACTTGGAACATCTCCCCATAAATTGTAAGTGGTATACCTTTTTTTTTTGGATTTAATTGTAAGTAATGCACCCGGATAAATTATAAAGACCCCTATACCAGCATTTTTCTGGGTAAATTATAAAGACCCTATAATATGGGATAGTGGCAAATACCCCTTATACTTTGATTTGCGAGAGTGACCCCCTTTATTAGTGTTTGATAAATTAATTTCATCAAAGGCTTTCATTTGAAAGTTTCTCAAAATTGTTAGACCCTTTTACTTACACTTTAATAATCTAACAATTCATAAAAATACTATACTTGACAGTTTACATAAATTTGTGGATTATGCCAAAACATGTGAAACCTAATGTTAGGATTCAAATTATGAAGATGTTGGAATTCAAACTATGATAGGGTTTATGTTTGTTATGGATTGTATTTATTTACTTTTTTTTATCTATTTTAAGTTTATGTGTTTATATGCTAACTTGTTGTTCATCATTGGATGTTTATTATGCAAGTTATCCATGCATAAATGACTGATGATATATTTTTACCAAACTACTCTTGTGGTGAAGGGGAGATGACACTACATATGGTAATGACATAAATTAATTACGGGCGATGGTTTTTATGTTGCCCAGTTAGGAGTAACCATAGGGATTCATTTGTATAGGTAGATGAATATAGTGGAATCTGCCATAGAGCACGTAGGGCTGAAGTTACCCAACAAAGTTCATCTACCATACAACCACAATAAAACAATAGATATTTTTAATTCATTGCTTATTGTGACTGTAATATTATTTGTCTTTTGATTTGGGTTTGGTTAATAATTGTCCTACTAGTATTGAAGCTCATTAAATAGGATGAATATATTATTAACAAACTTGATGGAGAAATTGAGCCACTATTAGACATTGTTAACATTTACTTATTGGATTATCTATATTTTTCTTTCTAAAGCAATTAACTTCTATTATTTTCTTAAAATTCATCAACAATTCAAGAACAGCCCATTTTGGAACTTCTTTAAACCCAGTTAAATTGGTGCTCATACAGCTTTAATCTTGTTCTTTTATTTCTTCATCTATTGACATGAATTTTATTTCGGTTTTTCTTGCTTCACCATTGTAAAAAGGAAAGGAAAGTACTTTCTCAATATTGAAGTTGAATCCATATTTGATCTTTCTTTGCCCGTATTAATTAAATACATGGTAGAGGTGTCATCTATAAAAGAGTTGCCAAGCGAGTGTTGTAATGATTAGTTATCTTCTCAAGGTACACACATGTCTCTCAAGTTATACCCAGAAACCGTTATTGTTCCTAAACCAAAATCAATTGAATTAAATCATTTCTTATAACAGCTTTTAGATTGAACCAAAGTAGGTAAAGTAGAAAAAAGAGAGGATTGATCGTTTGGTGTCTCCTGAACCAGAAATGGTAGAGACTTCTCTCTTCATTGGTCAACCAGAGAATTTACTTTAAGGCTTAATCTTAATTAAAACAGTTGTTTGTAATGTAATCTAATGGTGAAATGTCCCATCAATGAAACGATCCGATTAATCAACTCCCTTACTCCCTTTTGTTTTGGGTCCAATGGAATGATGGGATGAGAGGGGTTAAAAGCACTTAAATTAGTGTCTTTTTTCAACCATCCCAATCACTATGTGATCTTCACTCTCTAAGAGTGCCTTTGGTTAAGGTAATTCGAAGTTAGAATTCTGAGTTCCACCCTAAGATTGGGCCTAGATTTTGAGTTGTGAGTTCCATACCAATATTTCACCTTATAATGAAAATTCACTAAAATTTATACAATGCCATGGATGTGTTTTAATCAAAAGGTATCGTCCAAATGAAATGATAAAGCCAAAATATTAACTTACAAACTATTAAGCCCAGTTCCACAGGAATTGTTCTATTAAGTGACTATTTGAAAATTAAATATAGTTTTATTACGTGCAAACTTTTTTTTGATTGGATCACTCACAGCCGTTGGATATGATTAGGGATGTAAACGGGTCGAATTCAAATTGGTTCAAACAATATCCGAATTCAAATCTGATTTAAAAATTCGATATCCGAATTCGATTTGATATCTGATGGATATTGAAAATTAATATTCAAATATTCAATTTGATTCGAATTCGACTAATTAATTATTTTAGGTAATTAATAAATATATAAAATAAATATTTTATTTATATAAAGTATATAAAACATTTAAACATTTTATATATTATATATAAGAATTAAATAATCGGTCGAATTCGGATATTTATCGAATCGAATCAGGTCATATTCGAATTCGAATCCGATTAGATAGTTGGTATGAATAGAATATCCGAATTCAACCGATTAGATATTCGAATTGTTCGAATTCATTTCAATTATGTCAAATTTTGAATTCGATATTGGATTTTCAAATACCTTGACACCCCTAGATTTGATGCCATGTTTCATGTTGATGTTGTGGATCTAATCTAACAACAATTTCAGCCGTTAGATTTAATATTTTAGGTCAGTTATTATAAATCAATTGCCCAACTAATCTGGACCATTTGATAAGCATCATTATATAATATGGTATAATATTAGCATGCACCATCATACGGGAATAATGTATGCACATACACAAAAAATGGTGATGAAAATTGTCTTTCCAAACAACATTTACGCTTGAAAAGCGTTGCTTACTGCCTAGGTGGCGGAAACACTACCAAATATAAAGATGGTGTTTATTTGTAAAAAACGAGATAGCAGGGATGGGTATTTTTTTTGTTAGAAAATCGGTTTCAAAAAATGCCTAAGCTACCAAACATCACCTGAATTTTCAAGCCCAGGCCCACAAAACAAATATAAGCCCATCCAGTGCAAAAGATACTCATCGAAAATCACATTCTACGTCCTTGACACGTATGACTCTCTTTTTTTGTTTTTAAAATAAACCCCTTCACAGGATGAAAATTTCCCCCAGCACCCGCTGTCCCACCCCCTCGCAGAAGCACCACGTCACGGTCGTCGAATAAACGCATACACACATACATGACATGTCACTCTAGAAGAGTCAACAAAATAGCAATAATAATTACATATTTTATTATTTATTTCCTAGTTTTACAATGAGACAGTCTCTGAGTCTCCAATTCACTTGGCCTTACCATTTCTTTGGAACCCTCTGCTGCTCTATCCATCTCCCACCTTTATCCAAATTCCAGAGTCCAGACTACGAGAACCGCGTCTCATTCTGTACACGTGGCTACAGGTCGCAGAAGTTTAGACTAAATATAAAGTCGGCAGATTAGCGGTGTCATTCCAACATAACGGCAACGTTTCTCCCAGTTATTCTGTATTTTTCCCACGCAGGCACGAACCCCTCCCGTTCCTCGTCTCCCTCCATAAATTTTGTTCTCTCTCTTTCGATTTAGATTTGGAGTAGAAGTTTAAAAAAACGAACGAAAACTTATCAGATGTTAATTAAATGTATAAATATTTTGATTTTTCACATATTTTCTTAGGTTTTAATAGTATATGGTATGATATGAAATAAAAAATATATATCGACCTATCTTTCCCTCGACCCCAACCCAAGAGGCAGTTGGAGCTCGTCGAACAGATCCCCTATTTTCCTTTACCGCTAGAATTTCGCCTACGCAAACTTGTTTCTTCGTTCAACAGTTGCAGAGTTTCCTGCGGAATTCGTCGATTTTTCTCCTCCTCTATCAGTTGTCCAAACAATTGGTGTTTTCCGTCATTGGTCTTCGTGCATTGGCCGGGGAACGATATCGCGTTACCACTGTTGAAAGTGGCTGGCCTTCAATTCGATATCTGAATTTAGAGTCTCGCTGCAAAATTAGGGGTTTTCGGAGGTTTATGTTCGGATCCGGAAGAGAGAATCTGTCTTTCTTGTGACAGAGGGCGGTTTTCGAGGGGCAAACGAGGTAGAAAATGCCCAATTTCGTTGTGTGTTGAATCGATCTTTGAATTCGAGGAGTTGGCGTTGAAATTAGGGTTTTCTATCGGACTAAGGAGAGGAGTTTGTTTTGATATTCTAGGTAGGAAGGATGATCATCAAACGGAGCTTGAAATCGAGAATGCCTTATCTCAAGCGGTGCAAAGCTGAACAGCCTGGGTGCGAAGACGACGAGAGTTCCGGGAATAAGAAAAAACGGAAGACCAACGGGTATTATCCTCTCGATATTCTCGGCGAGGTAGCCGCCGGTAGAATTCCGTTAACTGGTTTTGGATTCCGAAGGAGGTTAGGCAATGATGGCGAGGAGTTCAGCAGTGTCGCGGCTTCCTGGTGCACCGAAGTATCTTATTGCCCCGGAGAGTTGGATTCGGAATCGAAGAGGCAGGATGCTCTGAAGGTGAAGAATCACATTGCAGATGTTTTTCGACCACCGCTTGTGAAAACTTCACGAGGACGCGTTCAGGTACTCCCTTCGCGTTTCAATGATTCGGTTCTTGATCCCTGGAAGAAAGAAAAGGCCAAACCAAGTGTCCGAGAATCCGGTTTCCACACTGAAATTGGAACCTCCAAGAAGGAAAAATTCAGCTGTAAAACAACAAAGTTTAGCAGTAGGCTTACCAAGAAACTATGCAAGGACGACAAGTTCAGCTATGATAGTCCTAAATGTTTTCCACTTCTCAAGGAGGAATGCGAAGAAGAAGAAGAAGAAGAAGAAGAAGAAGAAGAAGAAGAAGAAGAAGAAGAAGAAGAAGAAGAAGAAGAAGAAGAAGAAGAAGGGGGTAATTTGCTTTTCAAGAACCTTGACATTAGAAAGTATTCTAGTTCTCGCAGTTCTCTTACATCTCTTCACGAGCCCATAATTGAAGTTGAGAAATCTGGACCCCTGGTAGAATTTCAGAAGTCCCCTAGGAACTTTGAACTGACAGGCGTACCTAAATCGTCCAAGGAGAATACTGAAAAACGAAAGGGTTTCTACAGGCCCGAAGACTTTGTATTGGGTGATATTGTTTGGGCAAAATCAGGGAAGAGGTATCCGGCATGGCCGGCCATCGTCATTGATCCGATGTTGCAAGCTCCTGACACAGTTCTCAATTCCTGTGTTGCTGGAGCTATTTGTGTAATGTTTTTCGGATACTCCAGAAATGGGAAAGAAAGGGTAAACTCTCTCTCTCTCTCTCACACACACACACACGCTCTACCATGGTAAATTATTATTACTATTTTTTTTTTTGGTTTCAAAATGGACGTATTTTTAATACCCCAAGGTATGCTCATTTAATTATGATTGTAATTATCCCGTCACGAGCAGGACTATGCATGGGTGAAGCATGGGATGATTTTTCCATTTATAGACTATTTGGACAGGTTTGTAGCTACGTATTTTATCTTATCTGGAACTTAAATTGCAAGTAAGGAAGTGTTAAGAGGCCAAAATTTCGTTCCTTCAGATTTCAGGGACAGACGCAGTTGCACAAAAGCAAGCCTAGTGATTTTCGGATGGCTATAGAGGAGGCGTTTTTAGCAGAGCATGGTTTTATGGAACTGCCAGCAGAGGAGATGAATGCGGTGGTTGGGCAGCCAGCTTATAATCACTCTATTCCAAGAGGAGTCCAAGAGGCTACTGATTCAAACCAGGATCAGGAATGCTATTCTCAGAACCAGGCAACTTTTCTTACTGTCTAGTTTTTTCTATCCCTACATTATTTGAGTTTCCACAGGAATATCAAACCAGGTAGACAATTAATAGAATGTTAGGGTTTTTAATAAGTATTTTGTGTTGTCCTTTTTTGCATAATTCTATGTTTCTTCTTATTTTAGTTCACTTTTTTCCTTGAAATAATGAGATCCACTGAGGCTTCAAGATTCGTGCCTCATGCATCAGAAGACCCTAGCACCTTCCCTCATACCACTGTGTTTTAAGACAATGTAAACCTTTTTTTTACTGCCTGGCTATAGCTGATGTAACATGAAAAAGTTGAACCCGTGGCCTGCACTTCCTGAAAGCAAGAAGAAATAATATCAAATGGAGAAACAACTATATTGGACTTTAATCTACTTAATCTCCCATTTTTGTGATCTTTCTAGTGCATCGTTCAAGTATCAAATAGCATTTAGGATTTAAATGGGTTGGTCCACATGTGGTATACTATATGCATGCCAACTATTAACTGTGATACATGTTGCAGCATCAATCACAATAATCCTGAGAAACCTAAATGGAATCATAATCACCAAATTGATCAAAAGAAAGTTACAAATCACCAAAATACAAACCCAGAAGGTAAATTGTATCAAGTTAATAATTAATGACACCTCATAGCAATCATTTTTGAGCTTGTTTCATTGAATAAGTTACAATGGTTAAAGGGTTATATCTATTTCCTGGGACATGGTTGAAAGTTGAAACACTGAATGAGAATAAGGAGTAGCTAACTTTTCCAGTACTAGGTATCAATCTTGCAGAAAAATACTGGAGGAATGTGTGAGTTATTCTTCTGTCACTGCTATGGCAGTAATCTGAGCACTATGATGCGGGTCAGGTGAATGTTTTAAAAGGCGTGGGAGGCGTATACCTGGAGGCGCAGGCGAGGCACCCCCAAACGCCCTGAGGCATATGCCAGAGGCGCTGACACCTCTGAGGTGTACGCCTCATGCACACCTCATGTAAAAAGTCAGAAAAAGAAAAAAGAAAAAAAAAGAAAGGAAATGAAAGGAAAGGAAAAGAAAGGGAAGGGAAGATAAGGGAAAAGAAAGTGGGTCGGGGGCTAAGCCCCCGGACTCCTTGGCTCGCCTCTGCTTCGACAAGAACCCCCCCCCCTCAACTAGTGCTAAAGATTTTTATTAAAAGTAAAGAAAATGAGATTTTTCTTCCTCTTTTTCCTCCTCATCCCCCTCCCCTTAAGGAGGCTTACGCCTCTTACAGTCTTACGTTCTGAACTACGCGGCTACACCTCACGCCTCTAGGTAGTGGAACGTCTCGCGTCATGCCTCCACGTTTTAAAACATTAACATGTATGTAGCAACTAGCTGGAATACAAATTTAAAAATTTTGAGCTTTTAATATCTAGAATAAAGGTAAGGGAACAGAACTCCATGTTGAACCTTGTGCTCATTATTGTATCTGGAAAGCTTTTCGATGTCCTTAACTTTTTTCTTTATTAACTTGAGTTCTTGGAGTGATGTTAGATGCAAGAGGCTTTATAGGCTATTTTCTGCAAATTGAGATGTAGGGCTAGGCCTATTCTTCTTTGAATCAGTCTTCTGGTCCTTGTTATGTTTTTTTTTTTTTTTTGATAATTTTCTGGTCCTTGTTATGTTTCCACTATGGCTCTCCTGCTTCCCTGATACCATGAGAACTATTGGTTAATTATTCTAGCATCTCCTTTCACCTACTTCCAACCTTTATCTCTGAATTCTAGGTCTGCATAAATTTGGAAAGCTGCTTCTATGGAAGCTTACAAGTCCCAATAAGATGCATACATAAAATGGGGAACCTAGAAATTGCGTATTCTTATTGGATATCAATTAATTGTCTCTTCTGTTTAGGTGTTTAATGATTCATAAGATTATAACTGTTTGCCTTGCAGCTCTCTCACTGGATCTATTTTGTAATTCATGTACCATCCAATTATCATTGTACTTGCAAATCATGTAGAAATTTGTAGCATGGTTTACTAAAATTCTTTATTATTCCTGTAACCTGGTATTCCTTCAATTTGTTCATGAAATTTTTGTTGTTTGATTGTGTATGCTTATCCATTTGACTCTCTGTGCAGGATGCATTTGAGAAGAAGAAAGGCACACAGCCTTGTGATGGCTGTGGATTGAGCCTGACATTTAAAACTACAAAGAAAGTGAAGGGTTCAACTCCTAAAGGCCAATTTCTATGTAAACATTGTACTAAGGTCTGTATTTTTCATCCCTTATTATTGGGGTCTTGTGATTGAATTTTGCATCGCAACATTGATTTGCACATAAACTACAGTTTGCCTAACTTTTCATGGTTGGCCTTCACTGTTTTTTGCAGTTATTGAAATCAAAACAATATTGTGGCATATGCAAGAAGATCTGGCATCATTCTGATGGTGGAAGTTGGGTAAGGCAATCTAATATCTAAATGGAGTTTTTTTTTCTATATAATGTCAAGTTATTGATGAATGTTGTTGTTTACTGTAACAGGTTCGTTGTGATGGATGTAAAGTCTGGGTTCATGCAGAATGTGACAAAATTTCGAGCAATCTTTTCAAGGTTTGGACATAACTGATTATGAAGTGACCAAAATCTCTAATGTTTATGGGAGTGATTAGGGTACATCCCATTTTTGATAAAATGGCTGCATCCCTAATTAAAAGACAAAGAAGCCACACTATAGGTTGCCACAGAACTCAAAACATGAGGATGCTTTTGTCTTTTAATGCACATACTCTTTAAGTAATGATAGGGGTTTGCTCCCTTTACAAAAAATGGCATGTGCCCTTATCTCTCACCATGTTCACTATTGTGCTTTATTCTACTTGTCTTTCTATGCTGAAAGGTTGAGTCTTTGACTTAGTTATTGAATGCCAGGATCTGGAAGACACTGATTATTACTGCCCTGAGTGCAAAGCAAAGTTTAACTTTGAACTATCGGATTCAGAAAAATCTCAGCAAAGAAATAGGTAGAACTATGTAATCCTTTTCTTTAAATGTTCCCAACAACTTATTTGTCAGAAAGGGCTATGTGGCATTTACACTGCTAGTTGGAGCTTTCCTTCTATTTTTCTGTAGCTAAAAACAAAAAGCCATCCACTCTTGAAACAGATCTGACAAGATTACTGGGCAATTTGTGCTGCCGGACAAGATAACTGTTGTGTGCACTGGCATGGAAGGGGTATATTTTCCAAGTCTTCATTTGTAAGTATCATACCCCTTGCTAAGAATATCTGTTGTTATTTTGGTAGGAAATGAATTGATGAGAACTTTTATATTTTTTCTTCCCATTGGGCAGTATTGTGAGTCTATTTAGAACTTTGTTTAGATAAAAATTGGCAACTTTATTAGCAGGATAAGAATTGTATAAGCAACAAGCCTTCTTAGTAGAAAAAGAAGAAGAGGAACAAACCTGAAACTGGCCATACTACAAAAAATACAGAAAATCAGAACTATAGTAAGTGAGTTGGCTACCCACTTATGATCCCCAGCTTATTATCCATCATGCCCAACTTGTCACATCATTCCTTGTGCCACAAACTTGGAAGACCTTTTTTCAAGAAGTTGCTTCGAACTGACATATGGAGCACAAATTTCACTCTTCTCAACCATAGTTGTCAAGGTGATGCCTAGGCGACAAGGTGCACTTGGAAGCTTGCCTCACCTAATTGCCAAGCAGTTTTCTATAGTGTGTTAGACAAATCTTTTATATTCTTAATTTTTTGAGGTCGTAATTTTAAAATAGACATTTTTAAACTAAAATATTCATTTCGTGTGTTTATGTACTAATTTCTTTTTATTATTTTCTTATTTGTTAGGGTTTAATCAACATAAACATTGCTAAATGCTATATTGAACCCTGAAAGACTTCAAAACCTGAACCAATAAGTAAGGAAGAACTTAAAATGTTGTCTAATCAACTAATTTACTTCTTTTTCTTTACTAATTTTGTGTGTCTATACTATATACCAATTTTCTTCTTCCACCTTTTCTTTTCTTTTCTTTCTTCTTTTTTCTTCTCATGAATATGTTGATTTTCTATACTTTAACATGAAGTTTATACTTTTCTCATGACAATTATGGATAATTATTAAGGAAATATGATTATGGAACCTAGGGAACTATCCTAGGATACACATTTTTACTTGAAAAAATCCATCACCTAGGCGACTAGGTGACAAGGCGCCCCCCTGTCACCTAGCCTCACCTTGGCGCCTATGTTCTCAACCTTTTCCCTTATAAAATGCTTGTCAATTTCAATATGTTTTGTTCTATCATGGTGGATAGGGTTGGTAGCAATACTTATGGCTGCCTTGTTATCACAATATAGGGACATGGGGTTCACAACATTAAGCCCAAGTTCTCCTTGCAAGTTCTTTATCCAAAGTACTTTGACAACACCATGGGCCATGGCCCTAGACAGCCTTAGCACTTGATCTTGCCACAACACTTTGCTTCTTACTCCTTCATGTCACCAGGTTTCCCCGCAAATGTAAAATGTCCACTAGTGGATTTTCTATCATCCACAGCCCCTGCCTAGCCAGCATCTATATAAACCTCTATTTTCTGATGATTATGCTTCCTAAACAACAACCCAACTTGGATACTGTTACAAGTACCCAAGAACCCTTTCTACAACCTCTAGGTGAGGAACCTTAGACTGGCCAAGAACTCCCCCATTGCATAATTAATGTTAGGCAATGCCATAGAAAGATAGTAGCCTTTCTACTAACCTCTATAACTACTTCACATCCTTCAATGGTTCTCCATCACAATCTCCCAACTTATGATTAACATCAATGTGGGTATTAGCCAACTTTGCCCCTAGGAAATACTGAAGGGGTCCTAGATCTTTAACTTCTATACTGTATCTTTGCACTCTGATTACCTATGGTAATAATGTAATCTACATATTGCAACCTTTTCCTGACTCTTCTTAACAAAGATAGCCTTTCTAAGTAGAGGGATACCCAAGGGAAGTACATGGAATGTAATAGGGGTCCAACTTACCGTAGGTGGGGGACAAGTCATGCACCGACAACTGAAGACTCAAAGGAATGGAAAACAGAGATGACTGGGGAAACAAGAGATGATGAGGGGCCATAAGTCAAGCATCTTGGATGGCATACTGTTAATTACACAAGCAGGAGTAAGTACAACATCCATCCAAAACCTCTTAGGAACATTCATATGCAATATTATCCCACTGGCAACTTCAACAAGATATTTTTTTTTGTTCAGCAACACCGTTTTGTTGGGGTACGAACTTTGGTGGAGAGAGCCATGGGAAGTACTCATTGAATCATATTATCCAGTAGAAACCAACAGAAGAGGAGTTTTCGGAGTAAAAAATATGAGCTGGTGGCACCTTCTTGGCTATTTATACTTAAGTGATAATTAAAAGGTGAGAAAATACAAAATTGCCCTCGTGGTGCAAGCTATTATAAAAAACATAGAAAATCTAACAGGAACAATTAAGCTTTTGTGGTAGTAGAGACATTTTTTTTTATAGTAATTGAGTCATTCAATATAGATATTTGATATCTTTCTTGGGTACAGAAAATGAGTCATTTTCATCAAAATTTAGGAAATCATGTTAAACCAGTATCATTCCAATGCACCATGCAGTTTTGGCTTGCTTTTATTCTGACCTCTTTTACTTAATCTTCATTTATACTAGAGAATGACTCCCGTACTAAGTACAAGGCAACTACACATATTATTTTGTTTGAGATTTCACCATTTATGTGCTATATCTAATTTGAGATCCTTGTTTAATTTAAAAAATTAAATTAGGTTTGTAATTAATAACCCATTTTATTAAAAAGAATGGGACCCACACCATTGAAAATCTTTATAATGAGTTTTTTATTTGAATTAAGAATTTAAATTAGAAAGATTAATATGGGTCTCACATCTTTTGAAATGGGTACTTTTTTTACATAAATAACTACATGTTAGTAGTTACTATCTTTGTTTTTTGAGAGTGGGGTTAAGTACTCTCACTTTTCCTAAGAGTGCTTAGACACATTAGGAAGAAAGCTTCTATTTGAGAATGGAAGCATCCACTTCTTGTCTGAAATCGCTACTGTTGTTTCTTCAATTTTACTGGTGAAATTGCCATGCCTATAGTTGTCCTAGTTGTGCCCATGTAAACTTCAACTTTTGAAGCAGTCAACAAATTGTGTTCATAATTTCCTTTTTTTTTATATAACTTTGACACTTTGTTAAAGCCAAGAAAAGGCCTTCTTTGCCCACAAGGCTTGGCTGGTCAACTCGACCTGTTGGGTTGGAAATTCCAGCCTGAGTAGTCTGAGTTGATTCCTGAACTTTGGAGCATCACTTTTTTTTTGGGCTATATGCATAATACAGTGCTCATCTCTGTATTTTGATTTTAATGAATTTCACATACTATGTTTGTTTACTTTATTTTCCAGAGTTGTATGCAATTGTGGTTCATGTGGGAAAGAGAAGCGATCGCTTAGTGAATGGGAACGACATACAGGTTCAAAAAAGAAAAATTGGAAGACAAGTGTTAAAGTGAAAGGTTCAATGCTACCTCTGGAGCAATGGGTTTGTACTTGTGGATCTTGTTAATTTTCAGTATCTTACTTGCTTCTCTCTTACTTCTGTGTTTCTATCTGATTAAATGAACAATTGGAAGTCCGATGTTAAATTGAATGGTTTAGTGCTACCACTGGGGGCTTGGCCTGTGCTTGTATGCATTTTGCCATATTCAGCATCTTACAATATTAGGCCATATATTCATTTCAATATCTATGTACATGTATATGAAATCTTAATGCAATTATGCATTATTGCAGATGCTGCAAATGGCAGAGTATCATGAACGGGGACTTGTTTCTGCAAACCCTCTTAAGCGACCTTCTCCAAAGCTACGGAAGCAGAAACTGCTTGATTTCTTGCAAGGTAAATCTTCTGTTCCTAATTTTCTATTTCATCAAATATTTTTCTTGGATATACTTGCTGCAAAGATCCTTCACATGGTGTAAATCTTGCCACTGAGTAAACTGGTTATTATTATTATTTTGATAAGTAAAGAGAAAAATTTTATTAGGAAACTTAATCCACAAATATTGCAAAAGGCCCAAGGAACAATCAGAAGCAGCAAAATCAAATTACAACCGAGCCCAGAACAATTGATCCCTAGTAAGTAGTAACCCCTTGTTTAGTTAGAGTATCTGCTATTCCATTAGCCAATCTTTTCCATTGAATTCTTAATGTGATATTACTATTTAGCCCTCCAAACTTCTTTATTTTCCTCCCTACTTCTTCACTTCTCAAATGGTCCAAATCAGGGCTGCCCTTGTACATTTCTAGAGAACTCTCTGTCTGTACCCTTCTCTTAAGCCATCTAAATGTGGAAGGGTCAAATAGCAGCAATAGCAAATGGGCAGGAGATTATTGGGTGGGAATAACTCTACCCATTAGTTTGCAGAGAAAAACATCAGTTTGGAGACCAGCAAAGAAGAGAGTAATCTTCTCATAGACTACTTCCCTAGAAAATTATTGCTGAATTAAACCAGTTTTCTAATAATGGTATCTTCTCTATTTGATCCTAGTTTTTTTTTTACCTCCACTGTACTGGCACAGAAATGCCTTTATGTAATGTAACTTCTGCAACTGAATAGACTGTTTCACTGTGACAGAGAAGTATGAACCTGTTTATGCTAAGTGGACGACAGAACGGTGTGCTATTTGTAGATGGGTTGAAGATTGGGATTACAATAAAATTATTATCTGCAATAGGTAGCTTCTTTATTTGTTTTTAGGAAATTATTCCACATAATGAGTTTTTCCACGTAGTACATGAAATTAATTCATTTAATACATGATTTGTTCCAGATGTCAAATTGCAGTCCATCAAGAATGTTATGGAGCAAGAAATGTCCGTGACTTCACTTCGTGGGTCTGCAGAGCATGTGAAACACCTGATGTCAAACGGGAATGTTGCCTTTGTCCTGTAAAAGGTATGTTTTCTAACTTTATGGAAGCCTTTTGGCTTGATTACCAAGTCACTTGGTGTTTCTAGGTTTAAGGAGATCTTTACGGTTTAATGTGCAACTAACTAGCCTGGTATGCTTTGAAATTCTTCAGTATTGAGGTTATTGATAAGTTTGATGGTTTTCCTACCATGAAGTCCTGTGTTAAACAACTTTCATTACAATGTTTGTATCACCTAAGTTGAATAAATAACAACTTTAGCAAGCTAAGAAAATGCCAGTGCATTTATCTGCTGTCAACTTGTCTTTTTTTTTGTATATTGATTTTGATCTACTCTGATTATATTTAAACTGTTTTTTCTTTAGGGGGTGCTCTAAAGCCATCTGATGTGGATACATTGTGGGTTCATGTTACATGTGCTTGGTTTCAGCCTGAAGTTTCTTTTTCAAGTGATGAAACAATGGAGCCTGCTGTTGGAATTTTAAGAATTCCATCTAATTCTTTTGTGAAGGTAAAACTGTTTTTATTTTGTCCATTTTTTTTGGATCAGTACAGCATAAATTCATTCATTAATGAGATAAAAAGTAGTGTACAGCATAAGAGATACAGAAGTATAATTCAGTCAATGAGGGATAAACCCTCTTATCTCTCCCCCAACTATTCCCCTCACTTACAAAGGTGCCCAGAATATAGTTCCTCTCCCTACCCCTTGTTTGGCTAGTTTTATCCAAAAAATGTCATGAACATTTTATGGCAAATATATCTGAATAGCAGAGTTTATTAATAAATGAACATGCTTTTTTTGACAAGCATCAAAAGGTATTCATGAATATGTATAATTAGAACGGTGTACAAAGGGGGCAGCAGATCCCCAATACTGCACTGTATACCACAATCTACACCCAAAATCAGTGTTTTAAAAGCGCAAGGCGCAAGGCGAGGCACGCACCTTTTTAAGAAAGGCGCAAAATTACAAAAAAAAGCTAACAAATAAAAAGTCAGAAAATTCAAAAAAATGCCAAAAAATTTTAAAAAATGCAAAATATTCAAAAAATATTAAACATAATGTTAATAAAATATATAAACTTAAGTTTTAAAATAAATGATTTAAAAAACCTATTATCAAAATTAAAATACATAAACATAACATGTAAAGTGTATTCAAATGAAAATTTAAAAATAAAAGCAAACATATAAAGCATTTTCAAGCATGTAAAACCCACAATCTCTTTTTTCCTTAATTGCATTGCTTCAAGTAGTTAATGTGATGCAAAACATATTGCATTCTTGATTCTATGAGTCACCTTTGTACCACGTCCCTTGAGGCAAGCCCGAACAGGTCTATGTTAGGGTTTGAAATTCTTATTTCTCACATAAAAAATAATGATTTTATAACCTTTATTGCCTTTAAAGAAATTTTTATTGCAATGAATGAATGAACAACATTAGAAAATAGGGGGTTCTCCTCGAGGGGCGTGGTTGGGGGCTCTACCCCCGTCCCAGCCATTAGACTCAAAAAAAGCAAAAAGCGCAAAATTTTAAAAAGGTGCACACCTGGGCTGAGGCGCAAGGCGCATCAGGTGCACGCCTAGCGCCTTTTGAAAGGGGTGCACCTAGGACTTGGGCGAGGCGCATACCCCAAAATGCGCCTTGCCTGTGCACCCCCTTTTAAATCACTGCCCAAAATATCTTGCCAATGTCATACAAAGTCCCTCTCTCTGATCAGCAACAGCAATTAGAATTTTATTGATATAGTTTTGGAAAAAGGACTCCAAAACTCCAAATTGTTTGGAATGGAGGGAACCAATAAAAACACCCAATGGTTGACATACAAAAGATGGTCGCCAAGAATTTACATCTTAACATATTAGAACCTGGGCATGGTGCCCCTCTTATCTGCCCTGTTGACTCCATTCCCATTCCTAGCTTTAGAGTCTGCCGTCCCACTTGTCAGATCATGAGACCCATCTGAATAAGCAGTTTAAATTTGATTTAAATGCCTAGTCCATAAGAAAAATTCTAGTATCCACATGAGACATACATGGATAGACCTTTTTTCATGTTCTCCAAGTACTCCAAGATACCACATAAGGAATCATACCATATTCCAAAATGGAGCTGTTACAATCTGTTGAAACTGTCAGTCAAGATTTGCTGCCTCATCCCCAGAAAACTCCCTTGAGGCATCCCGATTCCATCAGTGATGGTGTGATAACCCTTAATTTTGACGGTTGTGCCTTAGGCAATCCGGGCTTTGCAGGTATTGGTGGTACAGTAAGGGACGAAAGGGGCAATATCTGMKGGACTTTTAGTGGYCCAMTCRGTTGGGCCGACTCCACAAAGGCTGAAGTGATGGCTGCTCTCACCGGAATCAGGATAATAAAGAATCTGGGAATTCAGAATTTGATCATTGCTGGTGATTCAGCAAATACGATAAAATGGTTAAGAGGCAAAAAAGGGGGCCCTTGGAGACTGCATCACTGACTGAAGCTTGGGATTCTGTGGATGGTTTGAATGTTAACATAGTTTGGATTCCTAGGGAACACAATCATACTGCAGATGGCCTAGCTAAATTCGGTGTGTATTTGGAGCATCTGTATAGGACAAGCTTCCTCCTTTGTAACTTGTAGGGGTTCCCCCCTGCTTTGTATATCTCTTGTTCCCCCCTTTTTTTCTTAATAAATTCTGGTTAAATTTTCTCAAAAAAAAAAAAAAGATTTGCCTAGATCAGTCAGTAAGTGCTAGAAAGAGGGAAGAAGACGAATTACAAAAGTAGGAGAACCCCAGGCAAAAAAGAATCTGATATTGAGTTGTTTTGCAGAGATGATGCTTCTATTTATAATTCAAATACCCTCATGGTTCAGGGGATTGACTGTATAATGCTGGCATGGAAGCAAGGAAAGAATCCATGGGGAAAGAAATCACGTCTCCCGATTCCTCATCCAATGACAATTTCACATTTTGCATGTTTTGAGTCTTTTCAATTTTTTTTTTCTAGTTTGTTGGTGTCTTGGGAATACGGTTTTTAAGTCTTTAGAAAACTACTTTTAGAAAAAACCGAAATGACTATTATGCCAACTTTTTTATGTACCATGTACATAACTCCCGCAATTACTATATACAGTAAAATTGTGATATCCTATTTATAGTAATTTCTGGAGAGGAGTAAAATTATGATTTCCTTTTTCCACCATGTTTACCCTTGGTAAGACTTTCTCCTTCTTGTCATACATCGATTTGGTATCATAGCAAAGTTTGGAGAGGAGTTCGGAAGATATCCAACGCTCATTGGAAGAATTTCAAACTCAAATTAATTAGATTATCTCTAAAGCACGGACCTAGCACTAAAACCAAATTGATGTAGGATGGAGTCCTACTGGGGTGCTGATTGGAAGAAGGGGGAGAATCAAGGATCTGAAATATGAAAGAAACAATCTATAGGGAAACCCAAACAAGGACTCTTGCTCTTAAACAACTCTAATAACACCGCCATACTAATCCCCTATTAAAATTACCTTATAATATAGACACCCAGAAATCACTAAAAATAACAAACCATGACTTCACTGTAAATATAATTATGAGAATTGCTATCAAATAGTAAATTCAAATGCTACCATAAATGAAATGAAATGAATCTGTTATTGATAGAAAAATGTTACCATAAAAAATAATTTTGATTTTTACTAAGGAAAATTTCTATAAGACTTTAAAACCCTATTCCTAAGACAACAACAAACTAGAAAATCAATTTGAAAAGACTTGAAACTACTAATTCAAAATACCCAAAAAATGTGAAATTGCCATTGGATGAGGAATTGGGAGATTTCTGATTTCTTTCTCCATGGATTCTTTCCTTGTTTCCATTCTTGCATCACTGTAAGAAACCTTTCAAGGAAGCCATGCCACATGAAGTAAGATGTTCTGCAGAAATGCATTTAATAGAAACAACTCTTGAAGTAAAAAGTAGAAAGACTCAATTGAAAACTTTTATTTGGGATTTTGTAAATAAGGGCTAGACACTTGCTAATCTTCCTGTTTAATTAAGGCCCATGGAGAACTGGTCTTCAGATCAGTGAGCTTTCTTGAGAAGAGAACTCATTGGTAGTTCTTCTCAGTTGAGTTGAAACTCTGTAAAGCCTTGGGAAAATAGCACTAAATCTTGCTTAATTTCTTTGAATGGTCCTTCTGAAAGTGTATCCTCAATCTGTTCCGAACTTTGAAGTCTGTCAATGGTGCATTACTCCTAATTGCCTTATATAAGGTTTTGACTACTTTGGGAGTGTGTCCATGACTCCATGAGAAACCTCTGTGTAGTTCACGGTCACAACCCCTTCCAAGTCATCATGTCCTCACAAGGGAAACCTCCTAAATCACTTCCTAAGGAGAGCTTTGTTCAAGAAGCCCCCCGAACCTCTTAAAGATGTGTATATACCACCCTTTTCCACTTGACAAAATGAAACCTCTTTTTTTACCTGCTCCTACTCCAAAAGAAGTTCCTTCGATTGTTTCAAGGCTCTTAGCAACTGGGGTGGCATCTTTGGAGAAAGGAAAAAGCAAACATGAAGGTTGGCAAGGGAACTCTGATGGGTGTGCTCTTCCTGCCAGAAGAAGAAAATTGCCTCTTCCATCTTTTTAATAAATGGATGAGAAATATGAAAGTGTCATAAGCATAATGGAGGTGGGATATGGCAGCTACCTCCTCCACCTTAAAACCTGAAATTGGACCTATTTCCTCAGCCTTACATATAATTTGGTTCAAGGATTTATTCATCATAATGAAGGAAAATGGAAAAGAGGCCTCTGGCCTCTTCACTTGGGACCTCCTACAATATGGAAGAGGTCCAATAAAATTCATTGATAAGCACAGTAAAGGAGAGCCGGAGACAATCAAGATACATGCCCAGTGCAGTTCTTCTATGTAGCACTAAAGCCCTTCCACTCCATGACAAACATGAGATAACCACAGTCCATGTGATCGTAGGTCTTTTCAGGGTGCTATTTATACATAAGACCTATTTCCCCATGTGGCCGTGCTGGATGTGAGAATTCAAACACCACTCAACAATTAATATACATAAATTTGCAATCCCTTGTGGGGTTATCTTAGCTATGCTAGGTTAGTCCCCCCTCCCCAATACCCTCTCTGAACAATAAGAAGAATGTCTCTCCTTCACAATAGCAACTTGATCAACCAGACAACTGCCAGATTAGCCACAATCTTATAAAGACTGCTAATTAAACTAATGGGTGTGGAGTAAGTTTTTTGTCAAGCCAAAGAGAACTCTATAGTTTAATTGTCTTTAAAATAGGGCAACGACAAACTGCAGCTCACCAATCTCAGTTTATGCACTTTTTTTGTCATTTCCTAGTCTCTTTTATTGGTTCAGTTGATAATGTTGAAATGTTTGGTTTTGTTTGTTAATATTTATAAAGTATAGACATATTTTAATATTTTTTGAATTTGATCTAAGTGGTGTTTTGTTTGTAACTTTGGTAATGGATGTAGGTTTGTGTGATCTGTAAGCAAATGCATGGTTCTTGCACACAGTGTTGCAAGTGCTCCACTTATTATCACGCAATGTGTGCATCAAGGGCAGGTTACCGCATGGAGGTAAGTTGCATTGAGATTTATGGATTAGCTAAGGACATTTTGTGATCTGATTCATTTTTTTTCCTCTATATTTTCTGAAGTCTTTAAGTTGAAAGTGATTGAAACCTATCAAAAAAAAGTTAAAAAGCAACTGAACATGAAAAGCTTGAAATTTAGAAGCTCTGATTTTTATGAGGTGAAGAAAAACAAATTGGTGCAATTTTCTTCCATTTGGCTTCTGCTGCTTCTATTTTAATTTATGATTTTCTCATACTCAAATTATTGATTGATTGAGGACTATTTTTTTCTGCCACCATGTCTTCTTGGGTTAGAAATGATCTTTTTTTTTCTTTACTGGTATTTGTATGCGAAGTATATCTCACCTACATTTCTGATGTTGATTATTTTGCATTTACATAACAGTTAGCTGCCTGTTTTCCATATCATGTCAATGGTTGAGGGAGTATGCAATTTGACAAATAATATAAACAATGCAACAATTTCCAGGGATGCTGTTTATTATTACCCTTGCTTGCATAATGGAAGTGCTAGGTGCTGGATCTGCATCTTGTAAAAGCAGAAGAATAATGTGGTGCCTGTTTGCATGGCCAACCTTCCTTGGGAGTTGGGATTGGGGATTTTGTTAATAGTTATTAGGTCTTATGAGTTTTTCTTGAGTCCAGAACTTCTCTAACATGTAATGAGAAGAAGCCACGGTTTATCAGTAGGTAAGTATATGGTAAAAATCCTTTTAAGAAAAACAAGAGATGGGGAATAAAAAAGAAATAGGGAAAAATGATTATACTGGTGGCCTCATGTTGCTATGCAAGATTTTCTCTTCCAGTGAAGAATTGGCCAAGGCATACAGGCTTGGGCTGTATTTCATCTCTGCTAGCCATCCTTGAAAATGTTTTCTTGGACCCTAGTAAGGAAGACACCAGATTTTGGACCCCTTCATCCTTTGGCTCCTTTTCTTGTGCTTCGTTTTTTGAGACTTTAATTCAGCCTCCTGTTCCTCTTGGGTTGTCCTTCCCTGTTAAAGAGATTTGGAGCAAACCCATTCCTCCTTGGGTTGGTAGTTTTTGTTGGGAAACTTTCCTGGAAAGAATTAACACAAATGACTTACTTCAGAGAAAGAGACCCAATATCTGTTTACTTCCCAATAGGTGTAATCTTTGCAAAGCTGATGGGGAAACGGGTTACCGCCTTATGGTTACTTGTCTGGTTACTAAAATGTTTGGGAGTGGGCTTTCTCCCTTTTTGGATGTACTTGGAATCTCCCCGTGAGTGTGCAAAGCTTGTTCTCTCCTTTGTTCTTTAGATGGCCTAAGAAAAGAGGGAAGGTTATGTGGAGAAGCATTAGGGTGGCAGTGTGCTGGTCCGTATGGGAAGAGAGAAACTCACAAATCTTTTTAGACAAGGAAAGAACCACGGAAAACTTACTAGAACTGATATACTTAAGGGTAGCTCACCGGCTGAAATCTATGGAGCTATTCTCAGAATTTTCCATGCCCGACTTATTGAGAGAGTGGAAAGAAATAGCTATCTCTGCCCAATGTAAGAGGACTTCTAGGCCCTCTTGGTCCCCCCTCCCCTCTGGATTCATAAAACTGAATTTTGATGGTAGTAGCTTAAGGAATCTAGGGCCTTCTGGGATTGGGGGTGTATTCAAGAATGAGGTTGGGATTATTACTGCTATATTCTCAGGCCCAATTGGAGAGGGTGACTCTCTTAGGGCTGAGATTCTAGCAGTTCTGGAAGGAATCCAAAGAGCAAGAGAATTAAACATTAGATGCTTGGTCCTTGAAGGGGACTCGGAGGTGGTGATTAGGTGGCTGAAGGGAGACAGCAGTGGTTTGTGGAGCTACAGCAATGAAAAGAAAAAATCTAAATGGCTGAGTAGGGATATTGAGGTGAAGTACAGCTGGGTGAAGAGAAGTGCTAACTCAATGGCTGATGGGTTAGCTAAGCAAGGGGCACTTAAGGAATCTCTGTTTTGGGATAATTTTTAGCTTCTTTCTTTGTTCTTTTGTTGTTGGGGAGTTAAGATAGTTTACCTCCCCCTTTTTGTAATTAAAATTCCACAAATCTTATTCATTAATAAAGTTTATTGTTATTGATTAAAAAAAAAAAAAGAATTGGCCAAGGCATGTTGTTTATCAATTTTCATTCTTTGAACAGGAGAGAAACATTAGCTTTGGGTATTGTTCATATTTCTCACAAGACCTTTTTATCTTGATAGCCCAACTAGTAACACTATGCCACCCTAAAATATGCAAATTAAAGTGCTAAAAATTGTGTCTTGAAGGTGGACAAACTCACCCTTGAAAGGTGGACATTTTTTAAATTAAAATCTTTAGCAGATTTTTTGGATGCTTCAATGGCATCTGCATCCAGGCCCTTGTGCTGGATTCATGGTTTCTGGCATGTTCTGTACTAAATCATGCTATGGTCTGCTGTTGGAAACTGGAGATCCACCTATAGGCTGGTGGTGGGTTTGGAAAGTAGCAGTCCTACCCAAAATCAAGTTCTTTATTTGGTCTAGAACCTTAAGTAGAACCCTCACCAGAGAGAACCTCCTGCATGGAGGATTGACATTGGACAATATTTGCTGGTTTTCTGGGGTGCCGGGGGAATCCATCAACTACATATCTATCTATTGTGGTTCTGCATCACAGGCATGGGGCCACTTCTCTTTCAAAGACAATATATAATGCTGGGGCACCTGAGTTTGCTTAATTTTGCCTTGGAGGGTTGAGGGTGCCAAATGTAACGTCCTTTGGAATTTAATGCCATTTGCTCTCTGCTGGGCCATCTGGAAAGAGATCAATAGTCGGTTCCTTGAATCAAAATCTTCCCTAATTGGGGCCATTATCAACAGAAGTGGTACACGGTCAGTTGGGTGAGACCGTGAGAGTGGCTCAACAATTTCAGGAGGTTATAATTGAGCAATTCCACTCCAACTAGGAATCCATTTTTGATGTTCAGCTGTTTTGTTTTTGTTTTTTCGTAGTTTTGGTTTTTTTGCCTTTGCTGGCCTGAGTATTTATTTCAATATTTCTCTGGAAATGATCCAGGTGGCGTTTTATTTTTCATGAATTTTTTAAAGAATGGCTTATCATATTTGCAGACTTTTATCACATGGTTTCCTGGGTCACAATGATACTGAATCAATTGAAAATATGCTTGTCTTACTCTGTGTGTACATTTTGGATTATTCTGTGATATCTGCTAACATAATTTCATTTACAGTTGCATTGTTTGGAGAAAAATGGGAGACAGATTACGAAAATGGTCTCTTATTGTGCTTTCCACAGGTAAGACAAATATGCTTTTTGATGGCTTCTGCCTGGCTTCCTTGTTTGTCTTGATGAAACTTTCATCACCTCTAAGCTTGACATGATTTGATTCATCGATACTTCTTCCCTTTTTGTTATTTTTGGGATGGTAGATGGTTCATTTATTAGCTGGTTAATTAGTAATCTTTCATTTTGATAGACATTAGTGTGCCATGATCCTAGCAATATTGCTCTGTTTTTGCTGTATTAGCCAGAGTCATTTTAATATGCACTGCAACACCTCTAATGGAATGCTAATTGCTGAGGTTTATGTGTTTCATAAACCTTGTTTTGCCTTCTAAGAAGCCTAAGATGTCCATTACATGTTGATTCAGGTTTGATGCCTTAATGACTTTATGTGGCAGGGCTCCAAACCCAGATACTGTTTTAGTTATACAGACACCTATAGGGATTTTCTCTGCCAAAAGCTTGCTTAGAAATAAGAAGCAGACTGGTTCAAGGCTAATTTCGTCTAAAAGATCAGATCTTCAGGAAGATTCAACCTCAGAAGCTGATCAGTTTGAGCCATCTTCTGCTGCAAGGTGTCGGATATATAAAAGATCAAAAAATAAGGTAAACTGCATATGGAGTATCTTTTACATGTTTAAGGATGACTTTTATTTGTCTGAAAGTTACTTATTTAGCTCATTAGCTTACTGCTTAGAAAGGATATTTAAAGGACCTGCATGTTGGGCTGTGTGGTCTACCTATGTGTAGTGGTTCGTATGGCCTCAATGCAAAGGGGGTGGATCAATCTATCTATTGATTCTAATATGCATTTTTTGGGATGTCCAGAAAAGAATGAAAAGTCCAGATTGGACAGTTTGCTTATTGAATGTGTTGATTTTTGGCTCAAGAACCAGCATTTTCGATATTGTGGTAAATTTGGCCCTATTTTCACTTTTATTTTCATTTTTTTTTTATTTTTACTAGAGGACAGGAGAAGAAGCAATAGCCCACCGAGTAATGGGGCCCTGCCATCATCCTTTAGATGCAATTGAGTGCTTGAACACATTTAAGGTAATTTTATATCTTATCATGTTATGTGGACTTATTTTCCTTTTCCTCTCTTAACTGGACAAAGTTCAAATGCTCATTTTTTTTTCTTTAAACAGGAAGACAAGGATGTTAAATCTTTTTCTTCATTCAGGGAGCGCCTTTACCACTTACAGGTAAACTAAGATTCCTCTACCTTCAGTCCAAATTGTTATTTGTTTACTTAATTAACATTTTCTGTACTCATGTTGGTGTTGTTTGTTCATTTCTGCAGAGAACTGAAAATGAGAGGGTTTGCTTTGGTAGATCTGGCATACATGGATGGGGCCTCTTTGCACGTCGAAACATTCAAGAAGGAGAAATGGTATCCCTTTGAAGTTTTAGCTATAATGTGGTCTCTGAAATTCCTATGTCTTGTTTTTCATTTTATTTGATAAACTGTTTCCAGGTTCTCGAGTATCGTGGTGAGCAGGTAAGACGCAGTGTTGCAGATTTGAGGGAAGCAAGCTATCGACTGGAGGGAAAGGATTGCTATGTAAGTCACTTCTCATTATTATTTTCTCTTGATTAGTGTTGATTGTTCAAATGTTGGCTGCTGACATTGTCTGAGAGAGCAAAACTGCCACAACATACATTAAAAGCCTTGGCTTATATTTTTTCAAAATTCAAGATTGGATTAGGTTGCTCAGCCAATTTTGATTTGGCCGTCCTTTGCAGTAAGGCTTGTGATGACTTAGAATACTCTGGGGAATTTAAAGTGGTTTACTTTAGAAATAACAAAGAAAACTCTTTTCCTAGAGCAGACTGTATTTTTGCAGTATACTTTTAGAAATATGGAGAATAAAGATCATTTAAAGTAAAAGCTGTTAACATGTGATTTAGCCCTGCTTTTATTTTTCATCCTTTCCACCTCTGGAAGAAAAAGGAATGACAAAAGTAATTAAATAATTTAAAGGTAAAGCAGAATGTAGTATTAGACTTGCATTTCCGGTCACAATTGCTGAATTTGCCTATAATAGAGAGGATTCTAGCTCGTGGCATTTTTTCATATTGTTTTATCGTCAAGCGCCAAGGTTCCTAGATCTTGGCAGCATTGTGGAAAACAGACCATCTATTGGTTCATTTGACATGTGTACATCACTGATCTTCAGCATATATTTTTTAGAGAGAGAGAGAGAGAGAGAGAGCTGATATCATGAATGCATAAACCTCTAATATATTTTCCACTGATCATGTTCATCTATTATTATTTCATTCTCTTAGAAGACCAGAAATGTCCATGTTACCCAGACACAGTGAGGACATGCCTGGACATGGTGTATGTTTTGCCATAGATGTTTTAGGTGGGGTTGTGGAACCATAAATTAGTGTCACATTGTGTGTTCCTATCCTTCTTATGTGTTCCAATTCCATTTCCAATTCCATTTGTATGAACATGCTAGAGGTATATCATGATTACCATTTCTTGCATTGGATTCTTTTCCCTTCACTTTTACTATAATATCAACCACTTCTGTATTAAAGATTATTTCCCCCCATTTTTATTTTTGGTAATTAATTTCATAGAGATCTTGGTAGCCAACCCCATATAGTTGGGGTAAGGCATGGATGTTAAGGATAATGTTTCATAGAGATCTTGGATCTTGCTTTTATCCTGACATCACAAACTGTTCTTCCTCCAGCTATTTAAGATCAGCGAAGAAGTGGTGGTTGATGCAACTGATAAGGGGAATATAGCACGCTTGATTAACCACTCTGTAAGTTATTCTTGTTAAGGTAGAAATTCAGAGTCAAAGGATAATGCATTTTCGCCCTATATAATGTGTATTACTTTTTCCATGTTTTATACTTTTATTTCACTATTAAGAATGTGCTTTCTTGATGTTTTACACATTTGATAGTTTATGCTGCAAAAACCTGTACATGTCCAAACAGCTGACAGGTCATTTCTATAATCACATTTTGTGTCGAATAAACCCATTTGAGGTTTACTAAAGGCAGTGTTTATGAGTGTTCATTGCATGTTTGCAGAGCTTTGTAATTGAGTTTGCTGTTGATACATCATCATATGGCTAACTACTTTCTGTCATTGCAGTGTATGCCCAACTGCTATGCAAGAATCATGAGTGTAGGTGATGATGAGAGCCGGATTGTACTTATTGCGAAGACCAACGTTTCCGCTGGAGATGAGCTAACGTATTACCTCTTTCCACAGCCTTTTTCATGTGTGTGTGTGTGTGGGTGGCGGGGTGCATGTATGTGTCAATGAGCTTTTCTTCAATCATCTGGTTAGGAACTTATCAACATACGTTTCACTGTATCTTCAAAATTTGCCAAATCACCCCATTTTACATTTTTATGCATTGGCAGGTATGATTATTTGTTTGATCCTGATGAATGTAAGGTCCCATGCCTCTGCAAAGCACCAAACTGCAGGAAGTTCATGAACTAGGCTACACATGATTGCCATTTTTTCTCCACTCGGAGCACCGACTGGTCTCTCCTTGTGTGATCTCACAGTTTTATACGCTGAGTTTGTATCTTATCCGATTATTTGATGATTTTTCAAGCTTAATAAAAGCTCAATATTCCTTGTTGGTTTCGGGGCTCCCATTTATGTAAATTGTCTCAACATCTTTATCCTCTAATTTTATTTTATCTTTCTCATCACAAGTCAGATATCCTAAAGAGGAAAGTCTGCGGATACATTTACATGTACATGTGTTTCAAAGAAATATAGTGCCATTCTTGTAATTCATATTTTGGAGTAATCTGTGTCGCAATTTCCTGTTCCACAAAAATGCTTTAGTATTACTATTACGGTATTACCCCCCTCCAAAAGAAAAATAAATAACAAAAGGTGGTGTGGCTATGTATTTATTTTGCAGGAGAATAAGAAGTAAAATGGCTTATAGATATTTGGTGATGCACTTGCAGTTGCAGGGCTCGGTAGTCTGGAACTGCCATTTGATTTGCATTTAAAGTCTAAACCCTCCATAATGTGGGGTTTTCTCAGGAGTCTCTCACATAATCCTTTTCATAGCTTCTGTAGTGACAAATTGGCATTCCTTATTTTAAGGATTTACCTCTTTTTGCAGTTAAAATTCAATGTTCATAGAGGCAGTGATTGGTACTGTTGGTGAAACAGTGGACGATTTGTGTATGTCCACGCCACGTCTTCATCGATATTCGTTTGATACGATAGTGTGTAGATCAAAGCACACTATTTTGTAATTTTTCATCCATAGTTAAATTTTGTAGGTTAGTTCACGTTACAGTGTGAATCAATGTTTTTGAACCGTTGTTGATCTAGACCATCAGGCTGTTCGGCCCAGGAGCAGTCCAGGCAACCTAAGAAGCGAGGGAAGACTATGTGGARGTGTATTAGGGCAGCGGTTTGCTGGTCTTTGTGGGAAGAAAGAAACTCATGCATATTTTTTGACAAGGAAAAAACTTTGGAAGATTTGTTAGATCGAATCCTCATAAGAGCGGTCCACTGGCTAAAATCTTTGGAGTTGTTTTCAGATTGTCTTATGGATGACTTACTAAGAAACTGGAAAGAGATTGCTTTCATTGTTAGATGCAAGATGATTCTTTGTCCGTCCTGGTCCCCTCCCCCCTCGGGCTTTATAAAGCTGAATTTTGATGGCAGCAGTGTAAGGAATCCAGGGCCCTTTGGGATTCGAGTCTTCAGGAATGATGAAGGGATTGCTACTGCTTTATTCTCTGGCCCTATTGGAGAAGGTGACTCTCTTAGGGCTAAGATCCTTGCAGCGCTTGAAGGAATTCGAAGAGCAAAAGATCTAAATATTAGCCGTTTGATTCTAGAAGGTGACTCGAAGGTGGTGGTTAATTGGTTGAAGACAGATGACAGTAGTTTGTGGAACTTTAACAATGAGAAAAAAACAATTCTTATGGCTGGGTAGGGACATTGAGATTCAGTACAGCTGGGTGAAGAGGAGTGCCAACTCATTTGCGGATGGGTTGGCCAAGCAAGAAGTGAATAGGGATGCTGTTTTTTGGGCTAGTTTTTAATTTTCTTTGCATYCCCTGTRTTTTCTGTTTTTGGGGAGCTAAGTTATTTTATCTCCCTTTGTATTCTTTTCCCTCTATTCTCTTAATTTAATGAAGTTGATGTTATTGATAAAAAAAAAGGAGCAGTCCAGGCAACCAGTTCTGTTTTATCCCAAATTAGGTCCTTGACCAAAAATCATTGAATTGATCAACAATTTATTATTTCAGATGGTTGAACCATTTGACCCATTCAATGGTTTTGGTCGTTTTTTTAATTTAATTTTAAATTTTTTCATCAGAATGGGCTGTCTGTTTGATACAGAAAGTTGAATTGTTGATATGGAAATCAGTGGCTAGAACAATTCTGGTTCCGGGTAGGGATGTCAATTGGATTTGGTCCAATCCGATCCAGTCCAATGTGAGTCTATTATAAATGGACCAAGTTTAATCCAATCCAATGAATGTTTTGGACCAATTTGGACCGATCCAATTCAATGTCTGGACTGTTCAATCTGTTCAAATTTATTTTGATTTAGATTGGTTTCAACCCAAACCCAACCCATTGACACATATATTCTTATCTTATATCAATGGACCAGATATTGGCTTGATCCAACCCAATCCAATATAAATTTGTTATGGACGGACCAGGTCCAATCCAGTCTAATAAATATTTTGGACTGGATTGGTTCAATTCAATGTCTCGTTGGTCCATCCAATCTGTCCAAATTGATTTTGGACTGGATGGGGTCCAATCCCAAACGGGTCCATTGACACCCTTAATTCCGGGTAACATTGGTGTGAATCACACTATATTTTTACAATGACACCGTGGTTTGGATGGATAAGAATACATTATCAACAAAATTTCCAGAAGCCCAAGCTCGCCAGTGTAAAGCTGAACTCAAAGCCCAGCCCACAAATTGGTCTTTTTCAAGCAATTAGGCTTGGAAGCCTGACTGAGAATTTGTACTTAGACAATAAATGGTGAACTGAATTCTGGAATGTTTAAGGTTGTGCTTGACAAAGCACACCAACCGAGGGCTGGCTTGTTGGTGTTTGCTGGTTTGTTCAAGTGTTGATGTGGTATAAATCTCGCAATCAGCACTTAAGGGAAAAAGGGGTAGAAGGGAAGTTATTAATGATGCATGGAAAGGGTGAAAGACTTAAAACCTCCCCTCAGATTTCACCTAAATACTGAATCCTCTCCTCTTTTTAAAGTGGACTAAGATCCCCCCTGTCAAAATTACATCCGATTGAATCATCACAAAGTCTCTTTTATCCTTGATAAAATTTTAAATTTTCAAAACGGTGGAATCATTTCAAAACAAAAATAGGAAGTGCCTCTTCTGATTGAAATTTCCCTTCTATTTCAAGCAACAGCAACCCAAATTGAGTAAGTCCACCCACTTGTTCATATTAGTTGTTGGTGCTCGGAATGGCCGAGGACAACAAAGTAATTTCGCTCCTAGGCTCCGAAGGGTGGTCGAAGGCTTTGAGGATTCAGAGAGGTCGCTGCTGAGGCCGAGGCGGGGTGGACTCTGAATATGGTAGAAGCCGAGGGTAGATGGCCGAAGTGCTGCAAGGCAGAAACTCGTCAGAGGCCCCGGGTGAGAACTCGGGGTATTATCCGACGGTCGAGTTAGTACATGGTACGAAGGGAGACTACCAGGATGGGATCCTGGTAGGCAGTTCTAGAATAAAGTCACAACAATAGTTATTGCAATAACCCTTACGACAATAGTTGTTGGTCTTGAATTTTTTGTAACCCCTTTACCTGGAGGGGGTACCCCTATATATACTTGAGCTACTTGGAGGTAGGTGGAGATGAATGCCTGAGATGGGAGTCGTACGAGGGCCTGTAGCGGGTTTGGTAGGGCCATGTGAGTGCATCGCGGTTGGCTCCGTACGATGGGGGCAGGGCAACCCCTATTGTAGCGGATCTCGTTCCCTGATCTGGTGCTCGTGGGTTGGGCCTCCCAACCTCAAATGGGATGGGTTGGGTCACCCCACATCATTTGTCCCCCACTCCCGAGGCCAAAGAGGAAAATTCGGCTTCGGTTGATGGGAGTAATAATGGTGAGCGCCAGTGGGCCCGGTAGCCGAGGTGTACCCTGTGGTGGCGTCCTCTTTCGTGTCTCTGCCTGGTTTGTCCTTATGAGTTGGGCTGGGGCTGTGAGTGGTTTACAACACTACTGCTTCGGACAAGCGATTCGGGAGGTGTGCTTAGTGCGGATGTTCTGGTGCCGTCATTTGGGCCGAGGACATGGGGGTCCGAATGCTGTTTAGGCTGAGGACCTGTGGAGCCGAAGGCTGTTTAGGCCGAAGACCTGTGAAGCCCGAGGACCTGTGTATGGGATGGCTTTCCGGTCTGACCGGTGCGCGCCTTCGCACGACCGGGTCGCGTAGGTTGGTGGTCCACAGTGGGCGGACACATCGGTTCACCCGGAGTGTCGTTTTACCTTCCGAGGGTGAGCATCGTTTCGCCTTCCGAGGGTGAGCGTTTTTAGGGATGCGGCGCAGTTGGATCGTAGGTGGGGAGGTGTTTCGCATCCATTGGATCAAGGATGATCCGAGCCATTGCTAGCGCGTCGTTTCGACTTCCGAGGTTGAATGTCACGTGGTGCGCTATAATTGGGTAGTGGAGGCGGTGGCTTCTTAGCCGTTGGATCTTGAGAAATTTGGGCCATTCGTTCCTCTTTTAATAGGGCCCTTAGCGGCAGCATTCCCTTCGTTTGCCTCTAAGCCTTTGCCTTCGAGTGAACTCAGCTTCCAGACTCTCCAACCTTCAACACTCTACTCTCACTCTTTCTTCCTTCGCATTTCTTAGGTAACTTTAAACAATGTATTTCTCAGATTCCGGACTTGAGTGCTATGAACTTCTGCATGAGTCGGAAGGGAGCTCTTCTCGTACCCCTTCTCCCCTTTCCCCCTTATGTCCTTCTACTCTTGCCCCCCTTCGGTAGGTGGTCATGGTGCTCTGGGGAAGGGTAGCCTCTGAGGGTGCCGAAGGCAGTCGTCGAGGCGAGGACCCTCCCTGGGAGAGTGTCGCTTCTATGACACCGAGGGAGGCCAAAGGGGCCTACCTAGTCGAGTGGAAGGGAACCATAGACCATGTTCCTGGGATGAGGGTTGCCCAGGTAGTAGCTGAGACTGATGTCCTCCACTTGGTTTCAAGAACTCTTTGGATGGGGATCAGGTTAAAGCTCTGGCAAGGCAGTACTTCATTCTCTCGTCCTATGGTGTGAGGGTGCCCGAAGTAGGTGAACGGCCGTGGACTCCTAAGGAGGGGGAGATCTGCGTCTACCAACATTTCCTTTAGTTCGGTCTCTGGTTTCCCCTTCATCTAATGATTTTGAAACTGTTGAGAGCGTATGGGATTACTCTCAGCTAGCTGGTGCCCAACGCTGTTAGGACCATAGTGGCCATGTTGGTGGTGGCTTGGTTCCAGGGGGTGGAGCAGACACTAAGGCTCTTTCAAGCGTTGTTTGTGCCAAGGAGGCATTTCTTTGAGAACGACATGTACTACCTCCAACCCCGTAAGACCAAGCCGATAGACAACCCTTCTTCCATGCATAACTGGAAGGAAAAATTCTTCTTTTTGTCATGCCCTGAGGGTTGGTCCTTCAAGTCGGGGTGGGAAGAAGTTAGCCAGTCTGCGGAGAAGAGTGTCCCCATTCTCACGAGTGAGGAGAATGATGATCTCGTGTAATTGCTTGACCTAGGGGATAGTCCGAGTCCAAC